ATCGGAACGAAATCAACTTAACGAGTAGGCGTATCATATCATATGATGTTTCTTCTTCATTTATGAACGTTCCACTTGTAGAAATTGTTTGATATCAATCTAATTACATTGACTGTAAATAATAATCACATCGAACTACCAACGAACTACTCAAGGAAGTTGATATTAAGATCCATTTTCAGTGAAAAGTTTAGGTTTAATGATGTAATATCTACCAAAACAGATAGAATTCCTATGACATATCTACATGATCGTGTCTTTCTTAGCATCCTTATAGCAAGTATCAAAAATCGACTAGTAAAATAAATAATTTCAGGACTTTATTTATACAAAATTTTCTTCTTTGTGATAATATACGTTCCATAGATGAACTTTTTAATCGATTTCATAATTGCCACCTGTTTAATAAAGTTCACATTCAACAAAGCACTAAACTTAACATTCTACTTCTTAGGTGTAATTTTAAGGAAAAGCACCTCCTATAAATAACCAAATAAAAAGATACCAAGTATATAGTGGAACTGCATGAAAATTGACATGTAAAGGAAGTGTATTGAACAATTGTGTTTCATTAAAATGAAAAGTCTCTATTATCTTTGATCTCTAAAATGATTCTCAAGTTGAAAATGGTTTAGAAGATTTTTTGATTAGTACACATGTATAACGATTATCTGTACTGGCTGATGATTGAAGGTGAGATGAAAATCTGGACCGCGACCGGATTCGAACCAGCGACCACTGGGTTACCGGCCCGGTGCTTTACCAACTGAGATACGAGGTTCGACTGTTGACCAAAATTTTGTTTCACTCCAATCACCAAGGGTTTTGCCCGACTACCATGTAAATTCGTGACGCGTTACTACCGCTTGATCGTATTCACATTGGTTGCCTAGTCATGACTTCTCATCCCAATCCAAATCTAACTGAATCAGAGAGAGGGAGCATCACATTGATTATGATTTGACTATCTGAGATAGCCGTAGTTTGGTAGACCAGTATTTGTACTGAGTGGTGATTGAAGGTGAGATGAAAATTTGGACCTCGTACCTCAGTTGGTAGAGAACCGGGTAGGTAACCCGGTGGTAACTGGTTCGAATCCGGTCGCGGTCCACATTTTCATCTCACATTCAGTCATCACCTAGTAGAGAAATACTAGTCTGCCAAACTACGACTATCTCAGATAGTCAAATCATAATGATTATTGTTTATGAATTATAACGTACAGATGCAGTTCTGTGATCTGATGATTGAATAACCATTTCCATTAGTTTTCAGGAGACGTTTAGCTCTATTCATTGGTTAGCCATTTGTTTTCTTAAGTATTGACATGTTGAGCCAGTTAATTTAGATATGAGGAATGTCAACCACCTATCGATGACATCGGATAGTGTTCACACTATACTAGTGATTGAAACAACCTGAAAACTATGAACCATTCGATTTTAACTCATTGACTGATGCAGAAATTGAGCTTTGATTATCTTGAGCTCTGTTCCTAGAGGAAACTTATAAAGACGTCCTGCTTAAATCTTGAGCTACCAAAAAATTTCCACCCATTATATCCCATCAAATTCTTCCCTTTTAGTTTGTTTTAATCTTTTAAATGTCTTCCGAACGCATTGTGAACTCTCACAAGTTTTTAAAATATTTTCGAATTTTCGTTTCTCAAACTAAGAACAAAAGATAGGAAGAACTGTACATCGGTTGGAAATCAATTTGTAAATACTCAGAAATACACCACATTACTATTCCCAGGATACCTGTATGGGATTGTGAATTTCTGTGCTGGCTGACTGACTGAACTGACACCATCAAAGTTACATTCTATTTTGTGTTAATTTCCTAATCGAGAACAGATGCTAATGTGATACTAACTGCCCGTTTCACATTTATGCCTTCAATACTGTTATTATTAACTCTATGCAGACGTTATGATTATTATTGTACGAAAAGCTAATTTGTTGGGATATTCTATACTGTAGCATACATGTTGTTTGGAATAAAGCGATTATTATTATTATTATTATTATTATTATTATTATTATTATTATTGTCATTAGTATTTCAAACCAGAAGAAAAGACCCATTTAGTGCTTACTGATTTTCACTTGACCTCAAACTGATCCAGATTCATGGTAAAAACTGTCTTGGAATCAATCGATATCCTAAAACAGTTGTAGTAAAACTGTATCAGCTATACCTATTATAGATAAAGAGTAAATTTATGTAATTCGAAATAGTTTAGTGGTTTAGTTTATTCTTTTATTATCTAATTAACGTTCTATTAGTAGTTTACATGTAGAGTCCTTCATATTCAACTCGGTATCTTTTTATGAATAAAGTTTGATATCATTACATCATCAGTGTATGTTTGCTACAGATGGGGTTAGTGAAGCTTTCGATACCTGCTTCGTTATGATTGGTTTCTAGAAGACACTTGAAAGTAAGACTCTTATATCTGTGTTTACTACAAGTATACTACTTAGTTAGGATCAATAAACCACTTGAATAAAAGGCTTTAAATAATTTAAATACTTCACAAGGGTTAAAATGTAACGTTGCAAATCATTCATCTATTTAGTATATTTTAATAAGGAATTCATTATGGACTGACTAAATTTTGAACCTAAAATTAATCAATAAATCTCCACAAATCTCCAGATTGAATTAATCTAGAGCTCATTGGTAACTAGATTGAAGAGGTGATTCCCGAAGTTCCAATGAGAAGTCGTGACCAGTGGGATCAATCAAGACGAATATGAGGACAGTTACTCAACAATGACATTGGATGTCCATCGCAGTATATCATGAACTGAAAGAAGTAGGAAATGTGGAACACTGAATTCTGACCCAGTGGCTCAATGATAACGTGCTAGCCACAGAACATGAAGGTCATGGAGATCGATCCCTGGCGTGGCGAGGTTATAGGTGTGCACTGTTGAGGAGTCCCATAAGAAGATGGAACAACTGTCGACTGTTCTCATGTTTCCATTTTTCCTCCAAATGATGTCAGTTCATGATGAATTCCAACTTAAAATCAATTAATAAATCTCCACAACCCTTTAGATATTTAGTTTATTTCAACGCCTAACTTACAGTTTGTACATTTCAGCTGTTTTTTGTTACACAAAAATATGTGATATACTAACCTTATGCATAAATCTGTATCGATCAGTTTGGTAGACAATGGTGTCTCAAGTCATCTAATCAGTCAATCAATCAATCACTATTTCAATTTTGCTCATCTTGACCTGGATTGGTACAAAGAAGAGTTGACTGGATAGCTGGTATGATTATCATTATTATTAGATTGAGAGATAAATAGCTATATTGCTTTGTAATTTACTTGGTGGTGGCTAGCAATGGAATCTACGACGCATGTTTTGCACTATTTGAAAGTCATCAGCCGAATGTACATTCCCGCCCCCCCCCCCCAGTGGACAATGGGTTTCATGTCTCAGTAAAAGTACCATCACTTACTGGAATACAGCTGATGAGTTCCAAGCATAACGAGACGCATGTCCTGTGATCCCATCTCTAACCAACACCAAGTAAATTACGTAATGAATAATCAGGTAATATTGAGGCATGCATAACAAAGGTCGATCAATAGCTATATTTCCTTATTCATATGACAACTAGACGAAACTTCAGTTAATTGGTGTGAGACTGAAACGTAAATATTAGTTAAGTCTTATATCTCAGTCGATAGAATACTATTCAAGTAATCCTAATTGAGTGATTATATGACTCAAGTTTCTTTTCAACTAAAGTTGTCTTCTTTACCTGCTGAGCCAAGACTATCTCGGACAATTCAATTAAAAAATAGTCTAATATTTGATTAACAATTTGTTTTACTGCTTATTTTCACCGATAAATAAAATCAACAATATGTGTTAAAAAATGAAAATACTAATAATGCACTTCAATATTTATAAAATGATTTTTTTTTCATTGTTGCTATAGTTGATGAAGTTAAATTTAAAATTACCAAAGTAACCATTAAAACAAATATTGAAAATATTTTAAATTGATTTACTTGTTTAAATTACCTGCCAAATATACAAATAGTTATCATTTGTATGTTTATATCGTATAAACAGATATTGAAGACTGAGGGAATGAGATATAGACAACTGTCTGGTAATATTCTCTAAATCACTTGGGACTACTGGAAATGTTAAAGAACGTACAAATAATTGAAACATTTCAGAAAGACGATAATCCAGTTCACTAATAATCTTTTTCTTTGACAATATCAATCTTTATTATGACATCTGGTATTACATTTATCTACAATGTTTTTTTTTTCTAAATGCTTAGTAATAATTTTTCATTCATATGTGAAGTTTTACATGAGAACCAAGTGGAAATCTGTGTTTTATAAAGACATTCCATGATCGCAACTCACTAGCGCATAAAATGATGCCGTAAAAGTGTGATTGTTGCCTGTATGAGTCTGTTCTTATGGTTCACCAATGTAATGAGCATTGAACTGTAGAAAATTTGAATCATAACAATACAATTTAATCAATGAAGCCAACCAAATCGAACGTGAGAACAGTTATCGAACAACGGCATTGGATGAAAGTTGCGCTATGGTAACATGCTGGCCTCAGAACCTCGAGGTCCTGGGCTCTATCTCTGGCAGGGTAGTTGTTGAGTACTGTTGAGGGGTCCCATACTAGGACAAAACAGTGCTCTTAGATTTCAAATGAATCTCCAACTGATGTCAATTCAGGATGAATTCCAGCCTGAAATCAATTAATAAATCCCCACAAACTTCATGATTGAAAAACGAAGCACTAAAAGCTATCCCCATGAGAATTATGGAAATACATTCTACATTTCGGATAAAACGTAACATTAGTACTTGAAGAGTTAATCTGTTGTTTGCATAAATTTCTCGATACATATTTTAACTAATAATGATGATATTGACCCTTTCTTTCTTGCTCATTTACTATCATTCCTTAAATAACATTCTAACATGCTTATAGGTGAAAGAGTAGTGGAGTATAATCGAAGTTTACCTTTGAATAATATGATTGGGATTGAAATGGAACGTCGTCCATCGACAAATCTTCCAGGAGAAATTAAAATGGCATTTGGTCGAGCTGCTCCTGGCTATTATGCTCAAAAATATCCAAGTAGATTTATAGTACTAAATATTTATTCATTTTCAACAATCAACAAAATTAAATTTTGAGGGAGTTGTAGAGATTTGGAAATATTTCAAGTTGTTATTCATCGAAGACTGACAGCACTTGGAGGAACAAAGGAAACCTGGGAGCACTGGACAGCTGTTTCGTCCTAGTATGGGACTCCTCAGCAGTGCGCACCCACGACCCCACCAGCAGGGATCGAACCCGCGACCTTCAGGCCATGAGGACAGATACTCAGCGTTGATATTGGGTGGCGGTTGCGCTATATATCGAATCCCATACTAGGACGAAACAGCTGTCCAGTGCTTCCAGGTTTCCTTTGTTCCTCCAACTGATGTCAGTTTACGATGAATAACAACTTGAAATCAACAAAATATTTTGTATCTTTTTACAAATATTTAAATTGGGTGATGATTGGAGGTGAAATTAAAATTTGAACTGCGGAAGGACTCGAACCAGTGGCTGCTGGGTTCCCCACCCGAGACCCATGTGAATTCATAACGCGTTACTACAATTTGATCGTACGCATACTGGCTGCCCAGTCAGAACTCATCCCAATTCATATCTAACTGAATTATAGAGGGGGAGCATCATATTGATTATCAGTTTGTGACTTTTTGAGATAGCCATGGTTTGTCAGACTCGTATTGACACCCGGTGATGACTGAAGGTGGAAATTAAGACCACAGCGGGAATCGGTCGCTGGTGCGAATTCACATGGTCACAAGGAATAGTTGGTAGTAAATGAATTTTCATAAGGAAGTATATTTCTTAAATTCACAGTCTACTGATTATTATGTTTGTTGACAGCTTAAAGTATTGTCGAATATTGTTTGAATCAACCAAGAAGAACAACAGAGTGGTAGGATTTGCATGTACGTATTTAGCTGATTCTCCTTAGCTGCACTACAACCTATAGAATATAATAATGATGGATCACCATTATCATTCGTCAACATAGGACCAAGGCTTAGTACATAATGGCTCGAGTTGCTACACCTAATATCGCCATATCAAGTAAAAAGGCAGTGAAGCTGAAGATAAAGAAAAGAAAACTCAGTCAAAAGAAATATAGAGTACTAAAGGAGAGAAAGGAAGAATGAGAAAATGGTGAGATTCGGTCTAGCATCGTTAAGATGAGGATAATGTGTATACATCTGCGACACTGACGTCGGTTCTTAGCCATATCACCTACAGTCTCCAACCACTAGTTCACCTTGTCCTGCGGACCCCAATCGACTAGTCTGCATTGCCCCATATGGCTCAAGCCAACAGTCAAACACTTCACACATTGGTGCCATGTTTTAGTCTGGCCACCTAGAGCCTTTCTTTAGCCTGGACCTACTTCAGCCAACATTGCGTGATGAGGTAGACGGCGACTAGGCATACGTAATACGTGTCCCAACCATCTCAGTCTCGTCCTATTTGCGACTCGTCAGCTGGGTATACCTGCCTCCCAGACAGTGATATTCTTCTCGCTAAGACTCCATCTCAGGATCGATCACTTTAAACACCAGAACGTTGTTATCCATTAGGCTATTGAGTCATCGGCATAGTTTTTAGGTTATTGCTTGTATTTTCCCGTTATTGATTAGACTAAAATGATCGATTAGTTCGTTCCAAAGATTAAATTGACAGAAATTGATGAAGTTAACTGTTTATATAGTGATAGGATAGACATTCCGGAGAAAGGAGTTGTACACAATGTTCTTTCTGAATTGGTACAAAAGCCGACACCATGGTTAACTAAGTGTAATAAAAGGTTAACAGATTCCCCATATATTGAATAATAAGATGAATGCAACTCAGAAAGTGAGAAGAGGTTTTGAAATAGATCGATAGATAAAATTAAAAAAACAGCGGGTCATGAGGTCATGAAATTTTGTCTTTACAAATTTAGGCGATTAGAATTATCAAGCCAAAGCAAGATTGACAATGGTATCTTTCTGAATACATAGATCACGTTTGTGTATTGCAACTACTTCAGAAAATTATAAAAGTGGTTGGGTTTCAGTTGTTTAGTGATCACTTTGAACTGTATATGAACCTTTAAGACTCAAATTCTTCTTTGCTGTCCTCTCTACGGTGTTCATTCTATCCATTTCGTCGATTTCCGTCAACCTAAATCTTTTTATAGTAAAGATGGATAATGGTTAGCAGTGGAATCCAGGATGCGCATTTCGTCCTACTTGGGACACATCAGCTGGATGTATACAAGCAATAACACTAAACCTAAATCTTTGTTATCTTCCATCTCAATTTAAACATTCTTGTCGATTCATCAAACTACATTATATAAAATGTTTTTCATTCACACACACACACACACACACACACATTGTATTCTGTAGGCTGTCCAGCAACTGAGGAGAATCCATGAAATATAAGATCCGGTTTCTGCTATTATGGTTCTTCTTGGCCTATTCAAATGTCGAATATTAGTTGAAATCTACGAATGAATTAGGATAACTTTTTCAATAACTATCATGGAATAAGGCCTGATAAGTTGAAATATCCTAGGCAGCTAATGTATCTTACCTTCAAATAAATTGTTCAAAAGATTATCTTCACAACTATGTGAAGCATCAATTACATCTTTTTTTTCTCAAAAAACTCCCTCCTCCATGAAAATAAACAAACTTAAGTTGTTGTATAAATAGTTTCTAGGGTGACGATTAGAGTGATTGCTGCATATATCACTGGCATAATTTCAACCTGATAGCAGGTTAAAAACAACACCTAACAAGTAAGGATAACAAACGTATATTTTATGGATAAATAAGAGTGACTATAAAGGTCACCATATAGTCTGCTGTGATAACCAGTCAGGTTTCAGTCTTTTGGCGGAGATGATAGTTTTTCATAAAATAAAGAAATGTAATTCGTTATCTCAATAGTTATTAAAGTTGTCTATAAAGTCATTTGAAATATTTCAAGTTGTTATTCATCGAAGACTGACATCAGTTGGAGGAACAAAGGAAGTTGGAAATATGGAGCATTGGATTCTGACCCAGTGGCTCAATGGTAACGCGCTGGTCGCGGAACCTGAAGGTCGCGGGTTCGACCCCTGCTGGTGGGGTCGTGGGTGCGCACTGCTGAGGAGTCCCATACTAGGACGAAACAGCTGTCCAGTGCTCCCAGGTTTCCTTTGTTCCTCCAAGTGCTGTCAGTCTTCGATGAATAACAACTTGAAATATTTCCGAATCTCCACAACCCCCTCAAAACATTTCATTTGAAATAACCAATTACTCTATGATATTCATTATAGGATAGTAGTTTTTTTTTCATGAAATAGAGAAAATCGATTAATCATTTCAGTGGTTACTAGCTAGGATGACCTTTATAAAGTAACTCAAAAATAGTAACATAAACCAAATTTTGAGGACTGGACACATGTCAACCAATAGGATGAGAGGTAACACGAGAGTTTATAGATTGAATAAGTCATTAAGTCGAATACCTGTTACAACAGTGAATAAACTGTTTCAGAAAGGAATATACATTTATTCATTGCACGAATGCTAGGTCATTCTATATTGTAAATCCAGTTTAGAATACAAAGAAAGTGATAGTTATTAATTTTCATTAGCTTTCATCTTCATATAGATTCACCTGCCTTAATGAATCTGAACACTACATTTCATTGTATAAGCTAGTGTTATATGCATAAAACCTCCGGAGATTTAATCATTATTTTTAAGATAACAAGGATGAGATCAATATAACATGATGAATACCCAGTAGTATCGAAGCATCCTCAAAGGAGCCTATCTACCAACAGAGGTCAAGCAATTTGGCCCTGTATAACAACAGGAAATTGCAAGTATCATTACAACAAATAATATGCGTTGTATAAGAGGTGACTATTGTACTCCAGTTGCTAAGTGGATAACAATTTGGCGTTTAGAACGACGATCACTGAGTTTGAGTCCCGGTAGGAAAACCATTACTCACCGAGGTGCGAGTATATCCGGCTGACGAGTCATGAATGCGACGAAACATGCATCCTGAATTCAAATGCCAGTTACTAAGATAAAAAGGACACTTTTTTCGTTCAAAATAACAGCAATTTATAACAAGATGACACGAGTCAGCATATATTTCGTACCACTTTTAAACACAGTCTGCTTTGTTTACTTTTTCTCAAGTAACTTAGATTCAATCAAGATGATATGATATTATGAAGTTTTCTCTATAAAAACCATAGTTTTATCAATCATACTTATAAAGTCTACTAGTTGTTAGACATCATAAGTAAGTGGTTGGATGACTGAAATATATGGGAAACAACTGAAGAAGAAATGACATTTACACTTTTCAGCTTCTATAATCGTATGGAATATTATTACCGAGTATTGAGATTGAAGATGAAGTGAAAATCTACTCTGTGGTAGACTATTCAATCTGATAATTTAGAATAGCCATTTACTTTTTACATATTTATTCCATCTTCTTCCTTCTTTATTTGTCCATCTTTCATTTACATACCTGTGAACTTGGTGTATACTGAGACAATATTGTAGTAGCACTGGTCATGAAATAGTAATGCTAGTTTCTACGGGCGGGGAGTGCTGACTACCTGACTGACTGACTCTATTTATCACATTTTCATTATTAGTTTTAATTTTGTTGATAATCTCTTCTTGGGATATTTTGAAGTATGCCAGTTTGGACCGATAGGTTCTTGTTCAGTTCTAAGTATTTTGCTATCATCTGCTTTATCATAAAAATAACTATATATTTCAATAATTTCAAAATGTAACTTCTTAGTTACCCTAAACATACTGTGTTACTTGTTAAATTTGACTATAGTCTTAGTTTAGTGTAATTGCTTGTATTACACCATCGTTGATTCGACCGAATTGATCAGTCTGTGTTGGCATATGCGGATGCCTCGATATTGCCTGTCTTTTAACTATGTTTAGTAATGATGGGCAGTGGCTAGCAGTGGAATCCAGGATGCGCATTTCGTCCTATTTGGGATTCGTCAGCTGGATGTACCTGCTTCCCAGTGAGTGATGTTGTTCCCACCGGGACTCGGACTCGGGAGCCATAGCTTCAAACGCCAGCGCGTTATCCACTACACCACCGAGCCACGATAGCCACTTCTTGTGCGACGAGTATAGGTTTAGTGTTATTGCTTGTATTACACCGACGAGTCCCAAATAGGACGAAATGCGCATCCTGGATTCCACTGCTAGCCACTGCCCTTCATTACTAAATATAGTCTCAGTTGTTAACTTGCAAATTTTCATCGAGTTGGTTCACTTTTTCCATATGATTTACTTGTGAAAATCTAATTGATAATATCTAGTGAACAGAAAAACCCGGATTGGCCGAGTTATCCTTAAGTCAAGTGAATCATTTCACATTAGATTTGTTTATTTGACATATGTAGTGCATAGTGAGTGATATAGTATTATTTACTTGATGATAACACTTCGAGCATAAATTATCATTGCTCATGATGATATCAATGTAATCACGCTCCTTTCGACGTTTGATTTTTATAGTCCTGTCACCTGATATTCTTTGTTTTGATTGGTAGTAAAGTTTTCCATATCTCTCTTTGGTGTAGGTTGCATGATTCCTATTACACATGTTGGGTGTTGATTAGATGAACAAAGATACAGTAATCAGTCTCTCTCTTCACCTAATTGCAATGAGCATAATTACAGTGGTTTCAGCATACCCCACTGTTATATAGTTGTATGTTAATGCATCCATTGCAATAGCCGAGTTTTTTTCTAGATTACTGATCTTATTCTGGTCTGTCATTCAATATTTAGCTAAATTCCTATGTTAGGCTATTCTAACTGACCACGACCGGCTAGTTTGACCTGTATACTTGACCTCACAATCATTATATAGAATTTGATAGATTAGATAACTTCGCTTAATTGGTTCTATCGAATCATTAGGCCAACAAAGCTTATCTCTGAATGAGTTTGTAGGTAGATTTAAATGCAACCCTAATCCCATGTTTGTCTAGTATCCTACGTAAATTTTCTGATGTTCCTTCTTGATTAGGTAACACAACGGAGTCTGTGAACTCCTTTCTACTAGTGTTGCTGTTATTATTTCTTTTTTTAAGTGTTTGTGTAAATTTCTTAATAAACTGCAAAAGTATAATTACTAACTATTAGCGCTTTTTTATGTGCTTCAGTTCCTTGTTTAGGCTATTGCACTGACAAGTCACTTTTCTAGCTCTATCATTTAGACATTTGACTAAACCTGCCTTCACTGACATTGGATAAGATGACTTGAAGTCTAGACACCTGTTAGAATAATAACAACAACACGAGTAGAAAGGTGTCTACAGCCTCCATTATGTTACCCTATAAGGAAGGTACATCAAAAACTTGACATAAGGTTCCCAACCAGGCTGGAATTAGAACGACATTTAAACTTACAAGCTAACTCAGAGATAAGCTTTGTCGGATGGCTTGAGGATCCGATAGAAGCAATTAAGCAAAATAATCTAATCTACCAAATTTCATGTAATGACTACGAGGTCAAGTAATTATATATGTAAGTGGACAGATTGATTACTGGATAATCTTTGTTCATTCGATCAACATCCAACATATGTAGCAGAAATGATGCAACCTACACCAGAGAGAGATATGGAAAACTTTACTACCAATCAAAACAAAGAATATCAGGTGATAGGACTATAAAAATCAAATGTCGAAAGGAGTGTGATTACATTGATATCATCATGAGCAATGATAATTTATGCTCGAAGTGTTATCATCAAGCAAATAATACTATATCACTCACTATGCACTACATATGTCAAATAAACAAATCTAATATGGAATTGGACTCAACCACGGTGTCCAAGTTGTAAACTTATATCAACTGAATCATTTTAAAATTCATACTAATGAATAACGTAATATGGTTACTGACTATGAAGTAAGCAGTAAGTATTCCGCCAAACGTGGAATGCTGAGCTGATTTCCCACGAGTATTTCTAGTTAATAGACATTGTCTAATCCAGAGGTTAACTTGAGCAAAATTATCTTGATCATCTGTTTTTCTGTTATTTATTCTTATACTTTCTAGACAAAGAGACATGGTTTAATTCAAATGTATTGCACAATCGTGTGTCAATACCCAGATTTGGTTCACCTTCTCGTACTCAGGAAGATTATAGAGTTTGTAATACAAGACTAAAACAATATTTAACTGGATTGAATGAAGTAACAGAGTATCAAGATAAGTATTTAGCGCATACACCGTCTATCAAGTAATAAATCAAATATATTTTTAACTATGAGAGAAAAAAGAAAAGTTGTACCTTTGAAATACGCAAGGGAATAATAGATGAAGAAGATGATCTCTTTCGTCTTTGAAATTTTTGCATATATTTCTAACTTATGTAAATAGTTGCACTTCTTTTTAAAAATACGTCAAAAAAAACAACAGAAAAGTATTCAAGTGTTTTTTTGTTTCAATTCATGTAAACAAAGCGCAATCTATTTGAATAAGAGGTGTTTTTGAATTTCCTTCTTCAAGGTCACAGATAGTAAGCTAGATAATCAATAAGTAAACCGTATCTTTAGTGCTCAATGTAAAAGTATCTAGTAAGCTAAAGACATCCGAACAGTTAAAGCAGATTTTGAAATTGTAAAAAAGTTCACTATAATCAGATCTAAAGTCTATTACTGATTTAAGAGGTTGATAAATTGACCTAGAAGTTGAAAATTTTACTTTCATTAAAAGGTGATTCTAATTGTATGCATCATTCAGAAAGTGATTAATAGGATAATACTATGAAAAAATATTCAGTAGTTTGAATATGAAATTTATCGAGTAGACTGAAATGCCACACTTTTTCGATCTCTTGAGATATAATTAAATTGATTTCTTACTATATAATGCCATTGATCAATAAATTTTGAGTAATTATGGTGTTGATATTGTTTGGTCATTTGAGGCGTAAATCTCTTAAAACCTATTTAAGAAAGTGGTCGTCTACTTTTATGAATACATGTAAACCTGGAGATTGATTTTCAGATAAGGCACGCATTTGTTTCCTTGAGTCTGAATAACCGAAAAGTGTGATCTTTTCAGCTGCAACTATGTTTTGAAGGCTAGATAATGTTAATGTTCAACTTGTATTCCTTAGCTAACTTTACCAACAAAAAAACTAATCTATTTTAAAAAGGAATTTATTCACAGCATATCGTGTCATTATTTTAAGGAAATGTTGACCGTTACTTGCGGACAAAATGTCGATTGCGAGGACCCTACGACAGTGAAGGAACTCAATTAGTTTCTGTGGTACTCTCTCAAGCTTGCTAAAGTTAATGCGAGGATTGGTCTTTTAAATTACTGTATAAAGAACTATGAGTATCCGAAGTGGTTCTGGAAAGCTTTACGTAGAAATCAAATTTATCCAAAGGCTAAGTCTGTCGCACATCATGCAATGAACCATATTGACTTCATCATCTAACGTATCCCAGAGTTAGAAAGAAACATCTCACAACGATCCTATTCGCTCCTTGAATTGTCGCCAAATGACCACAAACTATTCACTTAGTGTGTCACTGCAATTACCAATAAGCGAACACAATCAGTGCAATCAAGCTTATCGAAAAGTTTTAAATCTGTCGAAATCCAGTGTAAATTTTCAGATGATCCCAAAAGATTTGTACTTAATCATTCTTCAGCATCACAATCCAAATTACAATTAGAGGCCTTGTCGCTTGGGCCAAAGTTTTGTGATGTTAACCAATATATCAACAAACTTCATACACATGTACGGTTTGAAAATTTAATTAGCCAAACTGGCAATCTTCTCCCGGCTTCCGACCAAGAGTTTCAACAGTTCAAATCTACCATTACAGACTTCTGCCATCAGCACCTCAGCACAAAATCAAAGGGCCACATCTTGTCAACAAAAGAGCACAGAGAACAACTCAAACAACTGAGATGCAACAGGCGTTTGATAACAACGCGTCCTAACAAGGGTGCGGGTGTGGTCACACCAGACAAAAGTGTCTATATTGATAAAATGTTGGCTCTGCTCTCGGACGAAAACAAATTCTGTGAACCTGGTAACGAGAGGGGACTGATTGGGGAACAACTTACTGATGTTTTGAAAAGGTTAAAAGATGATCAGCTAATAACCAATGATATCTATGAATGCATCAAACCAGCAGGTTCCACAATTCCACGACTTTACTGATTACCGAAAATTCACAAGGCCGTTTTACCCCTTCGTCCGATTCTAGACATATCTAAGTCTCCTTACCACCCAGTCGAGAAATGGCTAGCAGAAATCCTAAAACTTGTAAGGAGACGAATCACCATTCACTCTCTACATTACACTTAAATTTGTTGGTTGAATAAGAGACGAAGACGTATCTAACAGACGTATGATATCACTTGATGTCGAGTCACTTTTCACCGATGTTCCACTTGCCGAAACTATCTCATTCTTATGCTGGTATATAGAAGATAACAACATAAATGTTGGGATACCGACCTTCTGCCTTAAGGAACTGTTACTTTGATATCCACTGAACGTTCACTTCACATTTAACGACGTGATTTGCAGACAGAAAGATGGGATCCCCACTAAGTTCACTACTAGCAGATTGATTTATGGTCAATCTGGAGAACGGACCCTTGAAATCAAAGATTGAAGGTTTTTATCTGCACAAAAGGTACATAGACGATACTTTTATTATCTGTGATCACCAATGTAATTTGAATCATGTTCTACAAATATTCAGTAACTGCCACAGCAATTACATTTACCCTTGAGGTCGAAAATTCACTTTCTTTATGTAAGGCTGACCAGAACAGCTGAGGGAACGTTAAGCAGGTCAATTTACAGAAAAATGTGGACTGGTCAACTGACGAACTTTAATAACTGGATCCCTATGAACTGTAAGCGAAATTTGATCATATCTCTTCCCACTCGCATTAGACGAATCTGCAGTTCCGATTTATTAGTAAAGGAAATTTCGTTCTAAAGAACATCTTGATTGAAAACGGATTCTCATCACGCTTCATAGACAAATGTGTCAAGCCTCAACCTCACAAAGAGAACCTTACTTACCACCGTGCCAAAAAAAGATATTCTATATTAATCTAAACTTTAAAATTGATTCTGCAGCTGAGACTCTAAGCACGAGGATATCAAACGTTCTAAGGAGAACATTCTTTGCATCGACGCTGAGACTAGTAGTCTCTTGTCGCCCAACGAATTCTAACAACAAAAAGAAGAAACTTTCGTATCTGACCACTTCTATGTACATAAATCAACTCACTTTCTCTTGTGGAGTCAGGTGCATAGGTCGTTCTATACAACTGTTATCCAAAATGGTTCAAGAACACTATACGGCATGGTTACAAAGAGGTAACAATGGAGCGATAAGGAGTGCTATAATTGAACATATCGTGAACGTAAATCATGCTGTCTTGACAACCTGGTCGTTTAAAGTCATTTTTAAAGCGAAAAGAAACCTCCCGAAGGCTGTATGTCTTCATATTCACTTCATCGCCGAAGCTCTTGCCATCCAGACGCAGAAGCATGAACTGTGTACACGAAAGAAGATTGTTCAACCTATTCTCCCTTCATGGTGTTAGTTTTCAGTCTTCTCTACTCCCCCCTTTTTTTCTTTTCATCTTTCTGTTTCGACCATATTCATTTCTTAAGGTATTTGGTACTCGTTCTCGTTGCTATGTTCTACCTGATCACAATTCAGTTTCCAAACTTCTTGTTCAAACTTATTCTGATTAATATTCACTACTCATCAGTTTTTTGGTTTTTTATTTTAATTGTACTGACAACTCATTTATTGACACCATTTGACGTTGCCATGTTTGACAAACTGTTTTTGACTACCAAATCCTTTTGTACAGTAATGATGGGTAGTGGTTAGCAGTGGAGTCCAGGATGCGCATTCCATCCTATTTGGAACTCGTCAGCTAGATGTACCTGCCTCCCGGCGAGTTATGTTGTTCCCATGGGGATTCGGACTCGGGAGCGATCGCTTCAAACGCAAGAGCGTTATCGACTCCACCACGGAGTCACGATAGCCACTTCGGTTCAATCAACGACTGTGTAATAGAAGCAATAACACTAAGAAAATATCAAATCCTTAGACTAGAAAAGAAAAATTGTATGAAATGGCGGTTGTACAGCTTTGAAAATGAAATCGCCGAAAAGAGACTCTTCGCTGAAACGTACTTGTTCTTCCTACAAATATTTTCTTGAAGATATTTCTGAACAGTAATATGCATCTTTGATGTTCTTATTGAAGACAATTTTCTCACCTAATTCATTTTCTCAGTAAATCGGATAAAAGCTAAAGTATCACTTAATTCACATTTCGTTTCTTTTCGTAGTTTCTAACCTTCTTCAGTGTGATATCTTGATGTGAAAAAAAGATATTATTAGCTGATGTCTTCATTGTGAAACCACACAGTAACCCAGATTTTCATTTCACTTCCAATAATTATCACCAATCATTAATTATCTTTTCACTTTTTAAATGACATTTGTTCAATTTGATAGAACATTAAATCACCATTTTATGTTGTTAAAAGTGTTCAAAACTTATATCATTAGAAACATGAAACCGATAGTAATAGTCTAATTTTTCAGTATGTTTTAAAGTTTATTACTTAACATAAGAGGTACTTCCGTTGTAAACTATTAGTAGAATCTATCCTTACATAATTTGACAATAAAAGCTTCATTTCACTTGTTAATTACCAGTGTATTATACGAAGCCTAAGTTTTTACAATATTCATTGATATATTCAAGTTTAAATTACTGCAGCATGTTTAGCACGAAAAAGAAAATACATATTGACATCGCTGACTTAATTACAAAGTGTTGCATACATTGTTAACATCATTCTCTGATGACGCAGTGGCTCACTGGTAACGTGTTAGTTACGGAACTTGAAGGTTGTGGGTTCTTTCCCTGGTTAGGCGGAGTCATGGGTCCGCACTGCTGAGGAATAGTCCGATACTAGAACGAAACAGCGACCCAGTGCTCTAAGGTTTCCAATGTTCATCCAACTGATATCAGACCATGATGGATTCCAACTTGAAAAAAGCCCACAAACCCTAAAATTAAATTCTTTGATGAGTTTGGATGATCTAAGATCAATAAATACTTGAAGTGGCATGTGTTTCATCCCTACATTAATGCAAAGTTATGATATGACTCTTGCTTGAAGAATGAATAATGCAGAGTATGGTTGTATACACAATACGCACTGTCAT